GTCTTCACGTTGTATATGTGGGCATGCATGTGCCATAAGAAAGCGAGCCTAGTCGCTATAATTATTTAGATTTTGCCAGATTGACAATGTCAGACGTATCCGTTCATTATGCTACACTTGGCATGTACGTGCTATTAATTCATTCTAGATACTCAATGAAGATATTTCGGTCAATGAGTCAATAGGGCCCTTTCCTTACGCGGCGGAGTCGACTAACCGACCCTCTGTACAAACTCATAATTAGACCCTAGGGACTGCTTCTGACACGTTCATCCCTCGTTTCTCCGCCCCATATATACGATGATCATACGGTGGGCCGATCGTTCCGCACAACTTCGCGCATGAATTCATCCGCTATCGCTCGTGAAGAAATATAACCGATGCTACATCACTTGGTTTATTTTCATTCACACTCTCGAATCTATATTGACGAAGCAGGAGTTACTCAGAGGAGTTTATCACAATTTTACTTAATATTCCGCATTAATATGATTCTTTTTGTGAAATGAATATTGATACGACACTCTCGATACGTTTCTGATATTTTCAGAGTTTCTATATGTATTGACTCGACAACATTTTATCTCAAATGAGGCTATTTCAGAACGATGGCACAGCTGCGAGGCAATAAAAGTTATAGTTACTTGGATGATAGAGGGGAGGATTGTGCAGATTACAAATTAATTTGATAGTAGAATGTCTCTGTGCATAGGAGATCCTTGTTTTAAACGGCGCGAGTTTTACGATTTACCATATTTTAGTTCTCGCTCACGAATCTAGCTGGTAAAGCCACTTAGTAATTGTACAGTTCTTACCAGCAAGGCTAAGGTGATAAACCGTTTAGTTTAAGAATAGTTTAGCGGTAACGAGCGTCAGTTAACTTGCCTTGTCCTTCTTCATTCTGCCAAAATAGTCCAGTGTGCAATCTTAATCGATACTTTCACCGAACGTAAAGTTCCTTAATTCTTCTACAAAACGTGATAGTATCATAAAATGACGGCTTAATCGAAAGAGTCGCTCTTAAATATTGCTCGTAACATTGATTGTAATGTCGCAAAGCAAATTATGATAAGTTTCAAAATAATTCAAAGTGAAGAACTCGTCTTTAAATTTCAATATCTTATTAACGAAGTTGTACAAACATAAAGTAAGCAATAGAATATTTATATAAATAATATATTACAATTTTTTCAGAATTCATGCTTCGTTCTTAGAAAAATTTTCACAGAAATTGCAAAAGGATACGAAAATTATCATAAATAATACAAACGTTCGAGGTCCCTCCATTCGTTTTTTGTGTGGTAGTACGTTACTGCATTGGTGAACGAATTTACCACCCATGGACAAAAACGGAGCCCCTCGTCGTATAACGGAACCCACACTGTAATTCAGTTCATGGATTTTCGATACCCCACGCAAAATGTACTCGCCACGCGTTTACACTATGAGTTGCACGCATCAATATATGAATACTTTAGCACGCCTTGAGCACGTGCGATCAAACGTGTTTTTATGAAAGCGCATAATGAGCTGCTTATTTCGTGTGGCTGCATAATAGTTATAATATTAGAGAATTCATCCAAAAATATTTGCGGATGTATAATTTTTCAAATGTTATATTTTTTAAATGTTATATTTTGATATATCTACATATATATGTTAATATTGTCTTTATTATTGATGTAATACCTGAGAATATACGGTATAATTAATTTGACAATACAATAAGTATAATGTTAAAGATGATATCTAATGTATTTTTATAATATAGATTTTTTTGTTAGGTATATCAAAGCTTATTCCTAACTTCGAAAATAATTTTGAAGCAAAATCCAAAATGCGATAAACAATAAATAATCGCGATAGCATTCTAGAAAAGAGTTATCACGACGCACGTGGTATGTGACGGTGTTACACGTCGGTGCTTGCGATCGGAAGCGACTAGATATTATTACGAGACCATGATATACGAGCGCGCGCGGGAAGAAAAGCCCCTCTTTATGTTTCCTTTTCGTTGGGCGATCGTGAAGCGGAACTTCTTCTCGCATGACGTTATCTCGCGCGACTCACCGGAAATCTGCACTTAAATCGCGCGAGCTCGAGCCGAGAATAGAAATAAAATCGCTCCCCTGTGCAGCAAATAAATCTAGGACCCATTAATCGAGGCACTTGTATGCCGACGTGGATTATGCATAAACATTAAGTATTGTGGGGTAGTTCTTCAGTTTTTTATTAAATGTAAACGGAGTCGGATGTTATGATCATTTAGAATTATAATTACTTATCTTTTTACATCTGTGAATTACTGATAAAATAGATCGCTCGATTATTTTGAATAGAAGCATAAAAGTACAATAAATAGAAGCAATTTGGAGTAATCACACTCTGATCTAAAAATCTTATCGTTTATAGTAATGTAGAAGACAATAATTACAATGATTTTACTTTTCTAATTAATCAAATCTGAAAAAAATTGTATGGAGAAAATCCTTATTATGAAAAAATCCTGCATTCAAGATACATCGAGTAGGTATATGGAATCAAGGCAAATATTTCTTCGATGTACATTTCCACACTGAGTCAACATCCGAAAATACGTGGTTTGTTTGCGTAGCCGAGCGCGTAGAATTGATACGGTTAACAGAACGGTAAAAGCAAGTATGCATCTGTCTAGCGTCAATTAACCAGTTCGAGCGCATCAATGTGAAGATCTAAACATGTACACAGTAAAAAAATTGTGTATTTGTGTTGGAAACGTCCACTCATGTTCTTATTAACAATTTGTGTTAAATTTTTTAACATATTCGAGTGTTAATTCAACATAATGTGATTACGTTATTTAAAGATTTTGTGTTAAATTGATATTTAACATTTCTTAGTATCAAAAGAATTCGCACTTTAAATTTTTGAGAGTGAAATTTTACTCCGGTAGGAGTGAAATTTTCATTCTTAGAGAGTGAAGAATCATTTCAAACGAGAGTCAAATTTCAATATCTGTAGAGAATGAATAACTTCACTCTCTGAGAAGACTGAAAGTAAATGTTAAATTTTCTCCCTACATCAAATCTTGATGAAATTAGGCTCATTCAGTACGTTTTTGTACAAAACGAACGAATCTGGCAGAAAAAAAGCATTGCTCTGCCTCACGAAGCGAGATATTAATCATTAAAGTTGATCCCTTTTAAGAAATTTATTCCTTAAGGAATGAAGTAAAATTCACTCTTACCGGACTGACGCAACTATCACTTTTTATGGAGTGAAATTTTACTCTAAAAAATTTAGAGTGTATGAATAAGTGAAATAATATAAAAATAGTGTCCTAAAACGTAAATTCTAAGATGAATGAATAAAATGTAGGTTGATTTAATATATTATAAATGTTAATTTTTTGAAAAAAATGTTTTCACGGTTTGTTTACAAATCGTGACGATATTATCTATTTATTCTCTTACATAATATTTGTGTATAATTCAACATATTCATCTTGTGTTAAATTACCTTTCAAAAATTGATATGAACCATTTGGGACGTGCGATTTATGTAAAATTTGACACATTTTTTCCAACAGCGTACGAATATTTGTAATTAGTTTTGTAACGAAAGGTTTGAGAAATTATATTTATCCATATTTAAGCGTTTGATACATCTTTATTGCTATTCAATGTAGATTTGCTTACGTAGACAATTTAGATACTACTCTAAGTAACAGTTTATCTTACTGAGTAATGCAATTATAGTTATATAATTTTCTAATAAAGTCTTGACATTTTATAGTTTCCATCTGTAGTTGAATTTTCAAATTCAACAAATTTGTTATAGTTTCCATTCTGGATTAAATTTTCAAATTCAAATGGAATTGAGTCCATGATGTCGCGTCTTCTTCTACCTGTTCCATTAGTTGCTGCGGTGGTTGTGGTGGTGGTAGTGGTGGTGGTGGTTGTTTTACATCGGCGTTTACAACAACATTTCTTA